TGTGTTAGCTCCTAAAAGAAAATGTGCTTAGACTGAAACACGTTCATCAATTGTCAGCATAAGTGTAGTGTTGAGCAGAAACGCTTTTACTGACACGTCTTGAATACTCAGTGCGTGCTTCTTACATTTGATAATGATTCAAATAAGAAGAAACGCGTGGGAAAGGGTTTTCATAACACCGATTTAAACGCAAGTGCTCATGTCGGACCTGAAATACCCTATACAAATTTTTCCTAATTATGTTAAGCATATAAGATTATACCTCCGCGTTTAACCTGAAATGAACGATACGGTGAGTGAAATATTTTGAATAAGTTAGTCAGTAACAGTCCTGCACCATGGGTAAAGGTTTAACTCTTGTTGAATTTTTAAAATATATATATTTTTTAAATTGGAAATGAAAATATAGAGACAAAACGCAAAACCCGAAAAGATAACATTGTATCTTGGCAAATAAAAATTTAACAGTGACTTATGTAGGGTAGGTGGTTGATGCGCAAGGTCTATGTTACCTTCCTCAATTTTGCTTCTCCCACTCCACCACCCCCCACCTCTCAGCGACTGCAATGGCTCGCGTACGTATTGCGCGGTTTTCTAACTACCTATACTAGTATTTATATGCATTCGGGTCATTTACATCTAACTTGCCATATGTTGGATCCCAGACTTAACTGTTATAAGAACATTTGTGTTTGTGATGTGTAGGAGGAATATGTTAAAAATACCAATCCATCGTGTGAATGAAAAAAAAGGGCCATACCTCAACTCACTCATATTACACCTTGTAGGTCTGAAATATACAATCATTTCTCTCATCATATACTTGTATTTAAAACCACGCCTTCACTGTAAACAACAGTGTGAAACTTGTTTTCTGCATGTAAAACATAAGAAAACTGTGCTCCAACCATGCCCTATCTCACACCTATTAGGTAGTGTGAGTGGCGTCCACTTGAACCAGGCACATGCCTTTTTTCATTGTTCTGGCATACATTTAATTACGGATATACCTCTCTCCCTAAGGCGATGGGTGTCACTTTTCAAAAGGAAGCAGCATTTACGATGCGTAATGATAATCCGAAGCAGACACCCCGAATTTCAGAACACCTTGGAAAACGCTCACTTTGGGCTTACTTAAGCCAAGAAGTTATAACTTCTTGCTTAAGCAGCCATTCACACAAACAGTGACGGAAAGTGCAGGGTAAGATAAGTCACCGACGGTGCTGTGAGGCTCAAAAGGCCGCTATGTGACTGATACTTGAAAAGTGGTTGCTCAGCACGAAGGTGCATCTACGCGACACAGTGGTACCGATTATCATACCTAGCGTCTCAGTTACATGTTCTCAGTTAAGAACACGACCTATAGGATAAATCTACTTCTTACCGTCAACGCAGTGAAATAATGTGCTCCCCAAAGCAAATTTGAAGTTTAAACACTGGTTGATATGGCCATCCTTTTGTGTGCTTGATTTACGGGGCACTTACAACCTGCCAATATTTTTCACACGGCAAAGTATAAAAGGGGTATAGATTTCACTATATTTCATGATATCGACTGCTTATTTTGTTTGTAAGCGTCAAAACAGTGTTTAGCAAACCTACACTAATATAAGAAAAAGTGCTACATGTATAAGGAGCAATCTAAAATTTTCAAGAAACCCGGAATCAACGCTTGGTAAGAACATGTAGGACGTTGGAGCGTGCTCGTGTCCCTTGCCTATAAACAATTAATATTAATAACTGTACACTTTGACAAATACTAAATCGTTTTTTTCGTCCAAGCTGTACACAATAATTTGATATGTTAATAAGGTTGGTCCGCGTTTTTCTCAAAGAAAAGTAATCTTACTTTTTGTATTGCCAAGTCTTAACCTGTCGTGTAAAAGATAAAGAACACATAAATTTTCATTTTGATTTGGAAAAAAACTCTTCATCTCGGTGCGTGTTTGGGCGAGTTTTTCAAACCCCTTGTGTACTCCATAAATGCAAAACGTATAGTAACCCAGGATCGAAAAAGATGTAAATCACTGGTGAATAGGGACACTGATGCAATTAATGTACTTAATCTGGAAATACAGTTTTGACTGTTTCCGTCATATCAAAGTTGCCGTTTACACAGTAAATCTCATTCCAAAAACCTGCAATTAACATATTTGAATTGTTGATTTGTAAATACACACTTTGATAAACTTTCGTTCCTGCTTGTAAGATGTAGAATGGGAATCAACACAATCAGTTCAAGTCAAGTTCAGATAAGTCAAGTTCAAACAACACGTTACAAAATAACGTCATTTAGAAGCTGATAAATTTGTTCATTATTCTTTACTGGATTAACCGTAGAAAAGCAGTGCATGTAGCTGGCTGTTTACCCTTTACAGGGGTTACAGATTGATTTTTCACAAGATATCCACAGATGTGTCTATGGCTAATTATGTGCACATTTCTGCACTGTATCCAGCGATAATTTTCGGATTTTTTGCACAAAATTGGCTTCATCACTGAGGTGGTCTCTAATAGAGAGTACTGAAAGTCCAAGATCTTCGTTTTTCGCCCCAATCCCCCAATGATGAATTAAAGATGGCTCTTTGGATCTCAGGACGTAACTTTTCTCTTTGTCTTTGCGTGTGTATGGTGGGTGGGTTCACTTGTTGTCTTGCATCTACCGGTATAAAAATGTCATTTCATTGAAAGTTCTTTGAAACCGGTAAAACTGGTACGCTAAAAACGTACTATTGTCTGACGAAAAAAGTTTTGTAGAGCAACATATTGAGAATATGGAATGGTAGATGAATAAAGGTGAAATATGGAGACCCGACGTATTCTAGAATAACAAATACTTTACACGCCTCAAGTCCTCTGATAAGCAGCTGGTCTCACCGCTTGCCTAAAATTGTTCATGGTAAATGCTGATCTAGACATCACAAATAAGGGTTTGGGTTTGATATCAATAAAGGTGGTTGAATTTTTTTACAATTGTCTGGGATTTCATCCTACAAGTTCGAGAATCTCGAAGAGAAAACTACTAGTAAGGCCTACTCAGTGACTGTCTTAACGGAAAGAAAAAAGACAAGATGGCAATTTTTCTTTTTTTATAAGAACCACGTACCTTGTTACTAAGATGGGTCATTAAAAAACGAGAAAAATAAACACAAATGGATAGCTGTTTCGCACAAGTGGATGGGAAACTCTATCCAGACAATGATTTCGTTTAGACTAAGTGTCATTTAACATATATTATTATCGAAAACGACAACAAAAGTCCTCAGCTTCACGTGAATCGATCAAAAGTTCATCTACGCACTGTAAGCGTTTTATATTGGTATAATAGCAGAATGCTGGACAGAAAAACAACAACGACAACAATACCGACGTCTGTACAAGAGGGTAAAAATAAGCGTGAATTAGACTCTACGTAAGCACATCTGTTATTTGTACAGCGCACGCCTTAGTGTATTAGATGACAACCGCGAACAAACTCATATTTTATTGTATAAGGTCAATTTTATGAGGTCACAGGCAGATCGCTTTTATTCAAATATTGACATTTCTTTCATTTAATGTATAATAATGGAGGGTGGAGCTGATTTTGTGAATAAATGAAATAGGGAAAATAAAAACAATTTCAGATTGGCCGTCTAATATTTAAAAAAAACCTTGGTTTTCAATCAGGGAAAGGTTTGAACTGAATATTTTCAAAACCCCATGCTGAAACTACTATGGCAGAAAGACCACCCCATGCAGTGAAAATATTAGCAGAAAGCGGCACCTTTAAAAATAATTTTACCTCTATTTAGAGAAAACGTCGGATGAGGCCTGTAATCACAAAATAAAACGGTGAATTTGCTCTCAGGAAGAAATTTAAAAACCTTACAGATCTACAGTTTGCATTGTTTTCAGCACGGAGTTATATGTAGATTTGCAACCTTGTTTTGACTCAATTAAAAAAAGCTTGTTGAACTTTTATTGTCAATTTATCTTAAGTCGTTCATTGTAATAGACCTATCACTTGCTAGTACATGTATTACTACTTACAACTATTTCTGGTAAACTGGTAAAAAATTAATTCAACTGTTTTTATCTCATTTAAGTGTCGTTCAGTAGAAAATTGCAGTGTCAAAATAAAAAAGCCCTGTAAGATTGGTCCAAGTCGGAACCTACTTTATCACATAAATTAGGCATGGTTATAGCTAAACTGATCAATTGCCAATTAGCAACTGGGCAATTTACGTAAAAACGATGGCTGATATAGGCCTAAAATAAAACACCTGTATTTAGTTCAATGTGAGTGTCTGGTCGATCTTCTCTACAAATCTGGTGACTTGCATGATTGGAAATCAAGATATCAGATGCATGTTGCTGTTTCTACTCCATACAAAATGAATGAATAAATTTATTTTTCACACCGTTCCCTCGGCGAGACAAAAAACCTAAAAGGCCTATCATTTGATGAAATCGAAAATGCCCCACCTTTCCACATTTTAGGGATCTTGGTATATCACACTTTTAGTTTGGACAGGTGCCCAAATTAAGCTACCCAAAATACGAAAAAAAAAAAAAAGACATTCCTGTAGGCTAGTAGGCCTACTAGTAGGCCTAGGCCCTACGTTTGGTCATCATGTAGAAGGCCTACAGATAGGGGGGCCTATTTTGTTTTTAATCATTAACGAGCCTCAAAACACCGATATAATTCAAGGAAGTGTACAGAAAAATTCATCTTCAATTGTTTACTACCTTATTTTGAATGAAAAAAATGTAGCCTATTCTTGAACGACGCGATCGCATCCGAAGACGCACTGTATTTGCTTGCGCAATAAAACTGAATGAGTTGCTTTTTATTGCGCTAGTTGAGAAAACACAGCCATTGCACATCCTCACTAAAACGAATTGTGTTATTCACTAGCCGAATCGTGAATGTGCCACACTATCACAACCAGAATGTCAGCATACTAGTAAGCCTGTTCTTCGTTGTGTTCCTCTATATCCTCATTTATATCTTACAGAATATCACTGCAGGAAGCGACCACAACGACGACAAAGTTCCACGGTCGTCTGCAACAAGGGAGTTGAAAATGGAAGAAGAGCGAATTCATCCAGCCGATGTCAGCTGGTCATCAGTGTTTTCACAACGTGGGTTTGCCTAAGTAAGTCATATCGCAGTCTACATGCTCACATTTTAAAAGTTATAGAGAATAACTTACATCATGAGGGGATGTATCGAGAACAATTGTGACAAGAAGAAAACAACAACTAGTGTGTGTGTTTTGGGGGTGATTTGGAAAATAGATGTAAAGGAAAGCATATCATACTGTTCAGTTCACAAATATAATCCCCAGATTTGTTAAATAACTTTAATGGAGTTGCTTCTTGTACACCCAACTCATTTTTTATGGCCTAGCTTACATGTAATTATATAACGCAAGTCAGGGGTGGATTCAGAGTTATTTTCTGACAGTCTTCCAAATTATCTTTGTTGATCCATCCTCCATTTTTTGACCGTCTTCCGACAGAAATAATTAGATACCCGTCAATGTAAACTTGAAAATCTGACCGTCTTCCGGAAGACCCAGAAGACCCCCTAAATCCGCCCCTGCAAGTGGACATGTGCAATTTGAGTAATACAGTGTTTTCCACTGTCACGTGACTTCCGCTAAATTCTCCATGAGAACACGAGATTTTGCGGGATTTGAAGTTTCAAGGGGCAAGTGTGGAGTGTACATGACTGACGCCATATCGACGAGTGCTCGTTTCGATCTGAATTTTCAAGGATTTGTAACATGATAACACCTGATTTTTTTTCGAAAACACATTCATGCGAGTACTTGGAATAGAAATTTAACGGACGTACCTGATGACTTTTCCAAGAAAGAACTGAAAACGTATCTCATAGACAGCAAGGATAGGACATATGATAAGAAATTTGTGCAGACATTCAAAAGTCTGAAACTTATTATTCAAGATGGATATGTGCAGAAAATCTACACAACAGCTTTAGTGGACCACTCTGTGTCACCAGAAAACTGCCATGTTTAAAGCTAGACGAAAACAACAGGCCATATTTGAATCAGAACCATAGCTTGCCTACTTCACTCAAGTCCAGGGTCAAATGGTTGTGCACAACATTCATGTGTATGATTTTGTTTTGTGCATAGAGAAGGATCTCTTCATTGAATCTGTTCTGTTTGATGCTGTTCATTGGGTATCTGTGGTTCCTAAACTGACCAGTTTTTACAAGACATTCATTTTGACAGAGTTGGTGTACGCTACTATTAAACATTTTTTTTCATTCAAAAATTCAAGCTTTATTCTACACATGCATTAAATACCAAACTGAGAATATGTGCAATATTATTCTGCATTGTGATCTTGGGTTGTGAAAATCTTTAGTGTTTTATTTTCATGCTGTTATAATAATCCTTGCATGATAATAGTCTTTTTTTTTTTTTTTTTTTTTTGAAAAATATTTTTTCTTTTGTGTATTTAACATGGATATAGATATTGAATAACACTGTGATAAAGTAAATGTTTTAAAATATGGTTGTATCAGATGGTGCTTTTATATAGGTTTTACTGGAATACAGTAGAAAGGAAATGGTTCTCAGGAGTGAACTTTCATCTTTTTAGACTAGATTTTTATTTTATTGATCAGTTGATGCAGGATTCAAGTGCAATTTCTATATATTTTATGTATTTAGCAGTGCAATAGATATTTAATTACATTGTGATATAGTAATGTTTTTAATTATAACTTGGTCTCAGATGATGGTGCTTTAAATTAATATTTCCCATGTAGGTTGGTTTAATTTTACTCAGGTTTTAATGTGCAGCTTTTTTAGATTAATTTTAACTGGAAGATGGCACGATGCTAGTGCATTTACTAGTACAGTAATTTATTTGCAGCAACAGCTCAGCAGTGAACAAATCAAATATCTCTGTGATTATATTTTTGTACGCAGTTTTACTTTTCTAAATAAAACGATGAAAGAAAGTAAATGTGCTGTGATCAGCTTCTTCAATATAATTTTTCTACTCTCCGCCGCTTCGGCCCATGTCGCACTTGAAATACTGTTTAGCCATTTTGTGTGACTTTGGTAAATCAGCTGATGGTACTGCATCAATAGTCATACTATCTTTCCTGTTTGGTTTCCCGGATTGGAAGTGACAGCCACATACTTTGAAGTTGTCAGTTATATTTTGCAATGAAATGTTCGAACGACCAGCAGCACTAATCCATAGCAATTTCAGATGTCTGGCCTTTGGAAATACAAAAAAAAAAAAAAAAAAAAGAAAAAAGAAAAAAAAACTACAAACATTGTCTATTCTACCTCTCCGGTGGCTGCAGTTATACACACAGCAGTTGTCATGACTACCCATTACCGATAAATGCGAAGAGCGGGATATCTACTTTACATCGTGACAGCCGTCCATGAAGGCCCCTTCAACTCTTGCCCCCTGAGAAACAGTCCCGCACAAAATGGCGCGAACTGCGCATGCACACGATTTCGTGGAAAACACTCTATTAGATAAGTATATGCACTCTTTGCCATGCTGTTTGTTGGTGATTCTATTGAAAGACTAAACACTCAAAGACTCAAATCAATATCAAAGACTTTAAAACATAAGGTGCTCAATTGCCTGCACTAGTAGGCTTGATTTGGTCTTGAAGTGCAATTTAAGATCACAAATAGTCTTACATGATCGTAAACCTTGATTCAGACCATTTCTGCACTGACAGCCAATTAAGTTGTCTCCCCTTACTCATTCTCCCATTGTGAGCAGAGGTGTCCTCTATTGTGAGGAGAGGTATCCCCCATTGTGAGGAGAGGAAGCTGCTTGATTACTTAAGTGGATGTTAGATCATTTTTAATCTTAAAAGCAGATTCAGTCCATTTTAAGACTACTGCTGTAATGATCAAGACAGTGTTAGATCATTTGTGATCTTAAATTGCACTTTAAGACCAAATCCAGCCCACTAGTGCTGGTTTCCCTATATTGATAATGAAAGATATAAATTAAAGGGTTTTATCCCAGGTTTTCCCCAGAGCCTGTCCATAAAGTGTTCTTTTATTAATATGTTTTGCTTTGTTTATATTCTAAATATTATATGTAGAGTGAATGTCTCCAACATGTTTAATGAAAAAAAAGATGTTTTTTTATTCTGGTAAAAAATGAAGGCATGTTCAGTTAACAAATATAATCCCCAGACTTGTTATTTAATTTTAATGGAGTTGCTTGCTTGTGCACTTGACTCATTTTATGGCATTATATAATGCATTTTAATGTGTGCAATTTGAATAATTAAATTAGTATACACCACAAAATAGTGCAGCATTGAATCCAACTTGGATAAGGAATTTGTATATAAGATGTTCTGAAGTAATATCTGGGGAGTTCGGAGAGAGGAGATTTAGAGTAACTGCTTGGGTTTCAGGTGGCTAGTATCATCCTTTTTGACATGAAATTTGTACTGAAGTAATATTGTTAGGTGAATTTCACATGGCTTAATTTTATGCCCTGCAGTTGCAGTCATTCTTAACACAACAATTTAAATATAAGGGTTCATACTGTTTTCTGCACAAGTGACATCAAGTGCCCCAAACTAAGAACAATTACATCGTGCATGAGCCATTAATAAATCGACAAATGACTATGTACCTATTTGCAATATAAAGGGTAATGGGCCTTCTTGATGAATGCCAAATTTCACATTCATTCAGCAATCCACTTTACAGAGCAAGACAAGAGAAATATAATTTTTTGTTCAAAATATATGTACTGTACATTATTATTCTTTATTTTATTTTATTGAATGTGAATATTTATATACTAAGCTATCAAAGCTGTGTATTTTTTAAAAGAATTTAAACTCTCAAATGCATCATACTATTCTTTGAGCCTAAGAGAGAAAGACAGGAAAAACAGAAACAGTTAAAAGGAGAGCTGTGCTTAGCTCACACACCCCATTTCTTTGAAAAAATATCACTTTTTCTTTATCTCTTTTAATAGATAGTAACTAAATATATATATATATATATGTTAAATCATGTGAAGAGTAAAATTAGACATTCACATTCTCAAATCAAGCTATTCTTTATGAATCCACCATCAATAAGACCTTTATTTTCCCTTTATAATAGGTCAGATAGTTCAAGGAACAAGTGCAACATCATCGGCTGCTGACTCAGTTACAGCTCAGTTCACTGCAGCAGTGACAGACAGTGGTCTCTCTACTGACTCTGCTGCTGTTTCAGCTACTGACAGTGCAAGTAGTTCAACATCTGATGTAACGTCAACCACAACTGTCACTACGGAAACAATATCTACCATAGCATCCACTGAGTCATCCTCCATACTGGCAAGTGCTACAACATCGGCTGCTGACTCACTTTCAACTCAGTTCACAGCAGCAGTGACAGACACTGGTCTCTCTACTGATTCTGCTTCTCTATCAGCTACTGACATTGCAAGTAGTGCAACATCTGATGTAACATCAGCTACAGCTGTCCCTACAGGAACAATATCTACCATAGCATCCAGTGAGTCATCTTCCATACTGACAAGTGCTACAACATCAGCTGCTGACTCAGTTTCAGCTCAGTTCCCTGCAGCAGTGACAGACAGTGGTCTCTCTACTGACTCTGCTGCTGTTTCAGCTACTGACAGTGCAAGTAGTGCAACCTCTGATGTAACGTCAACCACAGCTGTCACTATGAGAACAATATCTACTATAACATCAAGTGAGTCATCTTCCATACTAGCAAGTGCTACATCATCAGCTGCTGACTCAGTTTCAACTCAGTTCACTGCATCAGTGACAGGCAGTGGTCTCTCTACTGACTCTGCTGCTGTTTCAGCTACTGACAGCGCAAGTACTGCAACCTCTGATGTAATGTCAACCACAGCTGTAGCATCCAGTGAGTCATCCTCCATACTGGCAACTGCTACAACATCAGCTGTTGACTCAGTTTCAACTCTGTTCACAGCAGCATTGACAGACAGTGGTCTCTCTACTGATTCTGCTGCTCTATCAGCTATTGACAGTGCAAGTATTGCAACTTCTGATGTAACGTCAACCACAGCTGTCATTACGGGAACAATATCTACCATAACATCAAGTGAGTCATCCTCCATACTGGCAAGTGCTACAACATCAGCTGCTGACTCAGTTTCAACTCAGTTCACTGCAGCAGTGACAGACACTGGTCTCTCTACTGACTCTGCTGCTGTTTCAGCTACTGACATTGCAAGCAGTGCAACCTCTGATGTAACGTCAACCACAGCTGTCACTACGGGAACAATATCTACCATAGCATCCAGTGAGTCATCCTCCATACTGACAAGTGCTACAACATCAGCTGCTGACTCAGTTTCAACTCAGTTCACAGCAGCATTGACAGACAGTGGTCTCTCTACTGATTCTGCTGCTCTATCAGCTACTGACAGTGCAAGTACTGCAACTTCTGATGTAACGTTAACCACAGCTGTCACTACGGGAACAATATCTACCATAGCATCCAGTGAGTCATCCTCCATACTGGCAAGATCTACTACATCAGCTGCTGACTCAGTTTCAACTCAGTTCACTGCAGCATTGACAGACGCTGGTCTCTCTACTGACTCTGCTGCTGTTTCAGCTACTGACATTGCAAGCAGTGCAACCTCTGATGTAACGTCAACGTACAGCTGTCCCTACAGGAACAATATCTACCATAGCATCCAGTGAGTCATCTTCCATACTGGCAAGTGCTACAACATCAGCTGCTGACTCAGTTTCAGCTCAGTTCCCTGCAGCAGTGACAGACAGTGGTCTCTCTACTGACTCTGCTGCTGTTTCAGCTACTGACAATGCAAGTAGTGCAACATCTGATGTAACATCAACCACAGCTGTTTCTACAGATTTATTGTTTACCATTCTAGCTAGTGAGTTATCCTCCATATTGGCAAGTGCTACAACATCAGCTGATGACTCAGTTTTAACACAGTTTGGTTCAGCAGTGACCGATAGTAGTCTCTCTACTGACCCTACTGCATTTTCAGCAACCTTTGATGTAACCTCGACCACACCTGTCACTACAGAAACATTATCTATTATAGCCGCCAGTGAGACATCTTCTATACTGACAAGTACTACAACATCATCTACTGAATCACTTTCAACACACTTAAGCTCAGTAATGACAGATAGAAGTTTGTCAACTCATTCTGCTTCAACTTTGGGAAGTGTTGGTGCTAGCTCTGCCACATTTGTAACCTCAACCACTCCTGTCACTACAAAAGTGCTATCTACCATTACAAGCGATGATTCTTCCTTAAGTGTTACATCAGCAGTTGATTCAGGTACAGCACAGTTGACCTCAGCTGTGACAGATAGTACCCTGTCCATTGATTTTGCAAGTGTATCTGCAAGTGACATGACAAGCAGTGCAGCTACATATGTCACTACAGAAACCTTAGTGACTGCAGCATCTACTGAGTCATCTTCACTACTGGCAAGTGCTACCAGTCTATCCATCGAGTCTTTGACATCTGTAACAGCCGTCCCAGTTGCTTCAGTCAGCATATTTCCAAGTATAACCTTAGGCTCTGAAACGTCAAGTGGCATTGGGGAAACATATTCCTCAGCCTTTGTACCTTCCACAACAGCATGTAAGTTGTTTTTTCAGAACATTTGCTCAATACTTAATTCTGATTAAGCCGGTGTATTTTTAATAAATTTTGTCAGTTCATCAAGGGAGATATAATTAGAAAACAACAATAATTTATATGTGCATTTATTATTATTATTATTATTTTATTTGCTTGCCCTCCAGCTTTTGCTGAATATATCATAAATTGTACACCACTAGCTTAAAATTTGTGATATTTAGTTTGGAAAAGAAGTTAAGCATACAAAAGTACATTTATTTATTTTATTGTATTTTATATACACATGTATATATATATTTTTGGTCAACAAGATTTACAAATAGAATTTACACATTTGTGCTCTTTTAGCATGCATGGGTTGTGCATGTTAAATGAATTGCAGTATTAAAAATACTTTTTCGACTTTCTCAGAATTCTTTCCATTCACTTAAGCTATCAGATCACAGGGGTAACTTGCATACCATAAGTAAATTTAACATTTGTCAAGTCCAGCTGAGAAAGCCTTCAAGGATATTTCTAGCACCATTATACATGCCTATAGTGTGTTTAATTTCAACATGAGAGGCGACTTTCAATGGACATTTACATCATACAATTCTGTTTTTTTTTTCCAGCTGTAGTCTGCTCAGAACTGCCTGGAGCTGTTGCTGGGGCAACAGTAGTTAGTGGTAGTTCACAGAAGACAACCTATACTGTTGGTGAAAATGCCAACCTTGCTTGCAATTGCTCTGATGCGTTTGTTCAAGTTGGATGTGTCGGGAACTCACTTCTGTGTAACAGTAGTGGAATGTTTGAAGGAGATCTCCTTACATGTTCATGTAAGGAACACTAATACTCATTATTGTTTGTGATTTACAATAGACAAAACATTTATACTATCAATAAAGAAGTAAATAATTAAAAAACCAAAGCTAGGTATTTTCCATGATGCCTCATAGGTAAAAATGTTTTCGTCTTTTTATTTATTTTCATTTTAATTTATTTTGATATAGAAAAATTAGGTGTTTTATGTTTAAAAAAACATTGTAAAGTATTACTGACATTTAAAGGTGGTAAATTATGGTAAATAATGATTATACTGCATCAGAAAGTATCTATTTTTACGTCATGGACATTTATCTTGTTTCAGCTTGTGACTGCCTGAATTATTATGACAACTCAGAAAGTGGTTTAACAGAACGCAGCAGATCAGAGGCACAAGCATTCTGTTTGCAAGACCACGATGATGAGTTTACTGGCAATAATGATGGTAATGATTTTGGAATTCTGGCCAAATGGCAGTGTGATAACTGTTGGAATGCCATTGAAGATCGTTTGGCCGAGGAAGGTAAGTGCACTTCAATGTTTAACGGATTGTATACCTCAGAAACTGATTGTCTGGATAAGTGTTTTGAAATATGATATAAAAGATGAAATATACATTTCTCTGAATCTAGTAAAACTATTGGAACAAAAACAGTTAAAATTGAACAAAGATTTCTTGTCTTTTTAATCACATTTCTTTAAAATTAACTTCTAAATCAGTTATATTTTCACTCATTTACATGTGTATGTCTCTTAAGATAACTATTAGAACATATAATTATTTTATTTGCTTGCCCTCCAGCTTTTGCTGAAAATCTTCTGTTCTGGACAAGTGGAGTTATAAGCAATATTACAACTGATGGATTTGAAATCACCTGGGAAGACTGCAGTAAGTTTCTTTTGAGTTGCTGAAATTTGTTTTATGATGTATCTTATGTAATTTTTTACATAGTTGTCTCAAATTACATTAATGATTAGTGTGCTCTATGTTAAAACTAACTTATGGTCATTTCTCTCATTTTTTCACTACAATAAAGTGCACCAAGTGAATGAGAAATGGCTAATATGTCTGAATCTATTCTATTCAGGACAAAATGAATGTTTCTATCCACATGGTACAATTATTTAATTGTATTTGGATGAATCATTGGCTATATATCCATATATATCTGGCTTGCAACTATATATCTATAAGGCATAATCTTATTAGTATAGAATGTTAATCAATTTATTTATTAACTTAATAGTTAAGGGCCAGGTATTTCCCTAGCAGACAGAAATAATTAGATATTTCTGAATGAGAGACTATGTGTTATAATCGTTTTGATAGTTATATTGATAACTACATTTTGCTTCAGATTCCACAATTTTCATAACCAGTGGAACATTTAACAGCACATATGGAGGAGAGACCAGTGGAGCAATACCAGAGTTAGGCCATTGTGTGTTCATCCTACATAAAGGGAGTAGAGAGCCCAAATCAGCTAACTCGACAAGTTATCGCAATGAGCTGTATTTCAGGAATTGTGACAACAGTTATGCCTATCCATTGTGTATAGGTGGCCATTATTGTACTGTAGAGCATGGTGAGTGATTTGATTGTATATTTCCAGCACATAAAAAACAGAATTTATTTGAGATGTGCCCTTGGTGATTGATTCAGTGACTGTTTTTTAATTGTGCTTAAATGTATTTGGGAAACATTTATCTCCATATATTATAATGTCAGGTGGTTTTGTGCATAGCCTAGGTTCATGGCAGGTGTCACTTATTATGTCAGTTTATAATTTTATATGATATAAAAATTTTTGATTTACAGAAATTGAAGATGCAAGGCGGTACTCCTCTACATCATTTGGAGATGAAACAGGCGATACATGTTTTGCTGAGGTTGATGATGGTAGCTCTGAGCAAATCCAGTTACCTCATGGTTTCTATATTGGCCAAAGGAAATTTTCATCTGTCTATGTATGTGTTTTTGTAATTTTGTCTCAATCTTCCCCATTTTAAGGAAAATGTATTAATGGATCAGCTAGTGAAGTGTACTATACATTAAGTATTACTTTGAATAATTGAAATTTCTGTACTGATATACAATGTTAACAGTGACTTCTTTATTAGCATATATTGTAGATGTCCAGAACATGTGTATATATCAGAATTGAAGTTTTAGAAAATAATTATACATTATCATTAATGTTTTTGAATTTACACTTTTCCCTTCTGTGTTCCAGATGGTACATTTGCAGCACAATATTTTTAAAATGAAATTTGGCATAGCTTATTATCTCTACTTGAACCCCATTTTTCTCTTAGGTCAATGTCAATGGATTGCTGAGCTTCCAGAACCCCTTCACCAGTTTTACTCCAACTGCTCTTCCCCTGAGAGGGACAGCAGCTCAGTTTGGACTGATAGCTGCTCACTGGATAGACCTGGATTCACGAGACTCTAGCGTTAGTGGAGCTAAGATCTGCTCCCACACATGTGACTATGAAAAAGATTATAGCTATCTGAATGTGTCTGGGCCACCTGGGAGAAGGTATGTGTTATTATCTCTGACCACTGTTGTGATCCTGGTATTAAATATGACCTGACCATGAACATTTTATGGAGACTCATTGCAATATTGTCACTACCAGACAGGAAAAAATAAACAGACAGTTATCCCCAGATCATCCCTCTCATGGGTGATAAAATAACTGGGGTTTGCCTATATTATAATTGCATACTATTTGCCTTCTATCAACCTTTCATAACAAACTTGTTATTAACAAAATAATACAATTAATATAATTAGTACCAAGTGAAGCCCAGCTTTGGATTGACAGTTTTTTTTAATATCATACTTAGGTTTGAATAAGGCTAATAACATTTTAGAAAAAATTAAAAAGACTGATATCATTTTTCTTTTGCAGTGTTAATTAAGATGTCAATACTTTAGTATAAGAACATTATCTACATATTTTAATTATTTTTTACTTTACATTAGGCAAAGACCAAATCATTGTAGAGTACTTAATCAAACTATGTATCATGTGAGAAGATATGGAGGGCTGCCTGCTTTCAATCCTCTGTGGGCAATGGCTGTAACATGGTTCCGCTTGCCACCTTATAGTCCAAACAAAGCTTACATCGGGAAAGAGGTATGTTCTTATTGTCCCACCAGTGTAGAACTAAAGGTGCTAATGATTTACCTTCGTATCTTACTAAAGCTTGTAACAGAAGAAAAATACAACAAGTGAAAATAATACATAGATTTTTTAAAGAAAAGACTTTTTAATCTTTTCTTCTACTTGAAGGAAACCACATTCCAAGCAGTTCTGACCACAGATGGTGTTCAATCCTTTGTGATCTACCAATATCCTAGAGAATACTTGGCTCTGAATGAGACATCAGACTATCGCAGGGGAGAGATTGGATACACTGCTGGAGATGATCAGTGGTATTACAATGCCTTCCCATCTGGCACCATTGATCAGGGAAGCTTTACTGTGGACAAAATCAAAGGAAATACAGGTGAGTCTTTTGCTATTTGAATCCAGAATCCACAAATTGTCAAACAGATTGCCCTCACCCCTCCACAAGTTAAGGTGGTCATGCATTGTCTTTCAATTTCAAGTTATCTTATGTTATTTTAGCTGATGCACAGAGAGACAGACACAGAAGTAGAGACAGAAATCTTAATTAAAAAAGGCCTGTACAATCAAAACTTAATTTTTTCAGGGAGGAATGGACTATGGGTGCTGCAGGTCAATGCTCCCCTGAATTCCTTGCCAAATTATGAGCAACTCTGCCTGGATTGGGTGGTGCAACAGCAGATACAGGGGGCCCAGAATACCTACCAAAAAGTGGATCCATTCCTGCCACACTGTCCCTGCACCTGGACTCAGGCTGTTTTTGACAGGAGATTTAGGCTGTTGGGAATAGATCTCTCCAGTGAGTGAAAAGCCAGTCATTAAGGGCTTTCTTTTGTCACTTGTTTGTTTTTTTTTCTTCTTATTTTTCAAAATTTAAGCCAGGTAACTGCTTGTGAATGACCAATACCTTATTTTACCTTATTGTACTACATGTATATCTTGAAAATATAAAAGATCATTGATACAAGTGAAATAATTTATATTGGTGCATTCTTATCCAGATGGTTAATTTTTTTTTCAGATAATGTGTTTAGATTTAACTTGAGATTCCCCAGGGCTTTGGAATCTTATATATTTGGAAGGGTAAGTGCATTATAACTTTTTGTGTTGGTGTTGATTAAGGTAGTATTGTATTTTATAAATCGGTCTAGATCTATAGGAAATCAAATATAATAAAATATGCTTAGAAAAAGAAATGATTCACATTACTACTATATTTTTTTCAAACCCCCACTTCATTTGAAGTTCACAGTAATTTGAATATAAATTATACATTTGTATTTATACATTTGGGCACTTTTTTTAAAAAACATAGCTGCAGTAGCATGTTCACTTGCTTAACACACTGCTACCTTGGTAACAAGTACCTTCGGCAAATCATCTTTTTATGTTTATATTATATATTTTTTAAGTATCTTTTGAAAGAATCTTCCTCTGCAAATATTTATATTGTCTTTGTTTTGTAGGAATGTGTCTATGAAATAGATACTGGAGCATTACTGACCAGGGCAGAGTATCACACTGGCAGTTTCCAGTTTTACCATGAAGCCTTTTCTGCTGTGGTTGAGGCTCTCCATCTGAAGACGGAGGCTATACAGAAAGAGTATTGCTGCCAGAAGTCACAGAACTGTGAGCAGTATTTCATCTACAGACCAGCTGACACATGTGCTGGGTACCTCCAACCTACACTAGGTAAATTAAACCACCAACATTTAATTAGTATATATTTCAAAGTCTCAATCTTTGTATATTTCAGAAATTACTTTTTGATTGATAATTTAGAATGGAAAGGAAATATTGAACAAATAACCCTTTTTTTTCAAAATATTTTATGAACATTTTTTGGACTTTTGACATAGATGTATCATATCAACATATACACAAAGAATTTATATATATATATATGAAGAATTTAATTTTGGGGAAAAATCTATTTAGGCACCCTCTTTGGTGACCCACATCTGATCACCCTGGACAGTCTGCCATACACATTCAATGGTAGGGGAGAATACACCCTTATACGCACAACAAACGACAGCTTTACTCTGCAAGCCCGCACAGAACCTGCTCTTGCGGCAGATGGCAGTTTCCTAAATGCAACAGTATTTACAGCATTTGCTGCTAAGGATGGAAATTCTGAGAGCAGGCTACATGTACAACTGTCAGAAAACAGACAAGGTGATTTTTTTCTTTTTATATCATTCAATCAGTAATTTTAGTATATGAATGTTTCTTTGCACACATTGGTGTCACCATGTCTAAGCCTTAGGACTGATGCCAATCAAACTGGCAGCTTGAATTTGAAGTTTAATATTTTACCATGATCATAGTCTGTGTGTTGATGTCATGATATTATATACCACCAGTTAAATTTTTTTGCTGCCTTTTTAAAATATTTTTCTGTTTTGATATTTTTTTCAGAATTGGACATATATAGAAATGATGCACAAATAACCAGTATATTATTGAATTCTGCAAACCAGAATTACTTCAGCTATGACGACCTAGACATAGAATATAACATGACCACTAAGGCATTGCTTGCCACTTTTGCATCAGGTATGTAGTATTTCAATAGTGTAGTGTATATACACATATTGTGATTTCAGACATTTGCTTTGAAACCCTCGATAATATTTTGGTTAATGACATACTTTTAAGTAAGTAAAGTTCCCCCAAGATGTTGGCTTTTGCATTCATTTTCAGTAAAAAAATTTAAATGATATTTTTTTACATAAGCTATTAAATTTTAATATTATTATGGCAAACAGTTTATTCATTTTGAGTTTGGTGGCAACCTCTTTTTGTTTAATTAACTTCTTAAGAAAGTGTCATCATTGTCATCACTATTATTTCTCTCAGGACCTGTTTGAAGTTGAAACAGGTAAATATATTTTTTTTATTTTACAGGATTTTCTTTGAACATCACAGTAGGCAAGGCACTGCTGAAACTTATTGTTGAAGTTCCAGCAGAATTTGAAAACAAAACACGAGGTCTGCTTGGAGTGTTTAATGGTGACCAAAGTGATGACTTCACATTACCAAATGGAACAGTCTTGAATCTGAATAACTCTGATGAGGAAGCCATATTTTACCAGTTTGGGCAAAACTGTAAGCTTGTTGTTGTTGTTTTTTTGTTTTTTTTTTTTTTGTTTGTTTTTTTTGTTTTTTTTCTTTCTTTTGATTGATTATGTATATTATATATTCAATAATCCATTTCCATAAAAATCTATTTACAGTTTCAGAAAATTGTCCAGTTATACCAATATTTTCAAAAGAGTTGTATGACAGTGCACTTTAATTGTTTTTGCTTGTTGACTGACAGCAACGTCATTAGTTGAGAATCAGCTAGTGTGAGCTTTTATTGTATTTTTTCACATTTTGCAGGGCAAATTCCACTTAACACAAATGAATCACTTCTCCACTATGCCCCTGGGCTTGGGCCTGCAAATTTTTCATACCCAGACTTTATTCCCATATTTGGGACCACCTCTATAGCTGTCTTTGACAACCAGACGCTGAAGTTGGTGGAAGATATATGTGGTGACAGCAAAGAGTGCCAGTACGATTACCTTGTGACCAAGGATGAAGAGCTGGCAAACGATACATCTTTAGATTCTGCTGAGAGTTCAAAGTTGACTATTGCCATCAGTGAGTATAAATCATTGAAATGGTGACAAGCTATGATTAATAGTGGTGTTAATATTTTTTGTAATAATTGCAAGGACTGTGTTATAATAAAGTTATTTATATTTCAACAATCAAGCATCTTTTTGCAATCTTAACACTTCCTAAGTTTTAACGTATGGTTTAAGTAGCTTACTCAAAGTACACACACTGCAAAATATATATGTGATACTGTATAAGGTGATTGAAATATTGGAAATACTTTAAGAATTATTTTAACACATCATTCAATGAAATCCTTTATCAGTTTGCAATTATAAATGAAACACTTTTTTCACTCCAGAAAATAATATCCCAGAAATAGTAGGCCAAAAAGAGCTTAACATCACTTTGGGTGTCAACACCACATTTAGCCTCAATGTCACTGACCTTGACGGTGACACTGTCCAGTTGACAGAAATGCCAGGGGGACAGTCGTACACTGTGACATCTGGACAGGGCCCAGTGATCATCACATTGGTACCCGACAACACAACTGATTATGCCAATTATCAGTAAGGGCAAATTTAAGAATTGATGCTAATTTATTCCAAGATCTGAAAAAGTGATAATTACATATGAAGTACTATTAATTTTTTAATCATTCATAATAGCTGCTGTTACTGTTGTGTAGCCCCTCCTCCTTAGTCCATGCATTCATGCATGCTCACACACATGCACACATGCACGCACCCACACACTATGTACAATTAACAGACATTCTATTGCTTTTTATATGTCATTTTTACTAGAAAATAATGGGTTATTTTTTTAAGAAAGGAGAAGGGTGGCTGTGCCATTAAAGTCCATCTACACTGGAAAGGATTACAAATAATGTGGTGAGAAAGAGAAAATTTGTAGATAATTTATTATCTTCATCATTGCAGCTTTAATGCGAGTGATGGCAAAGGAGGCGTGTCAGCACTGTGGAAGTCAGTCAACCTGTGCTATGGCTGCTCTGGAAGAGGCAGCTGCAACTTCCAAGACCCATTAGTAGCCATAAACAACTTCAAAAGAGCATCTTGCACGTGTAACCAAGGTTACTCAGGTTAGGATGTTACTGATTGCTTGTTGGTACTGTCGTTTTTTTACAGGATTTGCAAAGCTGTTTTAAAAAACATCACATACTGAGTATTGAATCATACTGTGTATTATAAATAAATAAAATGAATGTTATAATATTTTTGCAAACATTTGTTGAATTTTGAATGTGTGTATGTGTGCCAATGTGCAATTGGTAAGTTAAAGAATCTTACTGGTATGTTTAGTGTACACAAGATTAAATTTATGGTGCTCAAGACCAGGTACTGAAATCAAAACTGTTACATGTATCAAATAAATGAGTTATGCATCCTCCAGCATGTCTCAAATAAAGATCTTTTGAATTTCCATTTTTCCCAACATCTTTGCAGGAGACAATTGTGAAACCATCACAGACTGGTGTGGTCTACTGACCCCATGTCCAACAGCATCACTGGGCTGCACCAACCTGGCTCCTGCCCTGCAAACAACAAGAAACAGGTACCAGTGTGCCAGCTGTGTGGATGGATATCAGCTGGATGGGGACAAATGCTCAGGTAATGAATGGAGACTTAAGTGTTTACCTGGAAGTTATGTTTAGATGGGCTTACGATAAAACTAGAATTTTTTACAGTGCTAATTGCAAAGACTGTGGCTTTGTGGTGCTGATTGCAGTTTATGATGTGGAGAAACAGAGCTGTTTCACAACACCTTAGATTTATATTTGATGTGTAAGGGTTGTGGAGATGATGGCATTTAGCCATATCAATAGGAGATTATATTCTTAAACTATTACATGAAGAAAGTATAAGGAAATCACCAAAAAAAATGTTGAAAAAGGGATGAGCCATCCACCATTAGGAAACCACTTTGCAAAAGTAGCTATTTTTTAAAACTGTTGACCTCTACTGGGTAAGTGAAGAAGAAGCATACCAAAATAATGTGGCATGTCATACTTCAGGTAGGTCTGAAGCAGTTTGGAGTCAGATGGCTGACCACTGGGACAATAGTTAAAGACAAAGTAATGTGGAGAGATTGTTCTGCCATTGTTGCAAGGGTAAATGATAATGATAATAATGTTGGTAAGAATAAAGGGTCATGAAGTCCCCTGTATATTGTATATTACAGATATTGATGAATGCCTGAACAGCACCACCAACAACTGCAGCTTGCCACTGTCTCGTTGTATTAATACCCTGGGAAGCTACAGGTGTGAGTGTGTGGCAGGTGGATATAGGCAGGCTAGTCCTGGCAGTCCACAGCCATGTGAAGGTAATGATTTGGTGTATTTTATTCCTCTTGAAGTGTTCCTTTTTATGTAACGTATCATAGTGATTTCGGGTATTGTTTACCTTTAAGGTTGTTAAAGTAAATTTAATGTAAACATTTTACTGCGCCACTTAGAAGAACCACTTAACACAATGTAAAGAACTAATTCCTATGCTTAATTTTAACTGAGGTAGCAACAGTTCTAAAATTCTAAAAGCTGAGAGAGTAATATTATTGAGAGTTTCAGTGTTATTCTATCATTGAACTTTGAGACCCATTTTACAAATAATAATAATAATAATAATAATAATAATAATAATAATAATAATAAAATCAGTAAACCGGCCCTTCACTTCCTCCTAAAAATAAACTTACTCCTGAGAACTTATCTGTTGCAGACATTGATGAGTGTGCAGAGGGTGTGGCACTGTGCAATCAGCTGTGTGTGAACACTGAGGGAAGTTATGAATGTAACTGCAGAGAAGGATATCAGTTGAAGAATGGCACTAACAACACATGTAAAGGTAAAGTCACTTTGCAGGAAAAATAACTCGGACTTTGTTCATGGTATACCCTTGTTGTGCAATAGAGCTCAGTGCAATATGTTAAAAGCCATGTTGACTTTTTTAAAGAAAAAAATAAACTTTGTTTTGCAATTTGAATGATGGTGATTTATAGTTTCTAATTGTGCATTTTTACTGTACATTCCAGCACTTCCAACGACCCAAGATGTTTGTCAGCAAATCAACTGTAGCTATGCATGTGCAGTTGGTGCCAGTGGGCAGCCATATTGCTTTTGTCAACCTGGGTACCAACTGATTGAAGACACCAGATGTATAGGCAAGTTTTATGTTCTTTCAGTGAATTAAAAAGCAGTATATCTATAATAAGGGATAATTAAAGTATATGGAATCCTCTGTAGAAAGACAGTGTTGTGTTTATAGTTATTAGGGAGAGGGGATACTCAAAATATTGTGAGTTAAGCAGCATTAAGAGTTTCAGAGCATTGCATTATGACTTTCATAGGCTTTGAAACTCTGTGTCTGTTGCAAGAATTAGTAGGCATTAAAAAAGAAACCATAGTTATTTTAAATAGTTATTTTAAAGATCATACACTACTAAAACTCTACCTAGTGTAACATCATTATTATGATCTTTCAGACATCAATGAGTGTGCCAATGCCAGTCTCAACAAATGCAGCCAAAATGGGAGATGTAAAAACACTGGTGGTGGATATCTGTGTGAATGTGAAGCTGGGTATAAGTTGGCTAATGATGAAAGGACATGCACAGGTATGAAAGATAATGTAGATTTTATATTTTATAGTATAGTTTATGAATATTGAGTTCTAATTCGGTATTTTCTTGGCACTGGAATTGTTAATTTATCAATATGAATAATAAAATGAATGAATATTAAAGATAATGTTAAAAATAACTCTCACCACTTTGAATGAAAACTGAATTTTTCTTATTTGGCCAGATATGTATAATTTCATACATTCATGAAACTGTGCTTTTGAAGTAGTTTTTTTTTTTTCGTATTAACCCAAACATTGTTATAGTATTATTACACATCTTTACACATATGTTTGCTGATTCCAGTATGCAAAGACCTTACATATGGAGTCAACTGCAGTAACTTCTGTGACTGTGGCGCCAGGTCCTCAGGATGTAATGCTACTTTGGGCTGCTACCCGTGTTACCCAGGCTGGACAGGAGTGAACTGTGCTACAGACATAGATGAGTGTGGCTCTGACCCTAATATATGTGGTGCTGGGGGTACCTGTAGTAATACACAGGGATCCTATGTATGTCAGTGTAATAGTGGCTACACCAAGAGTGACGATGGGACAAGCTGTATTGGTAAGTTAAAGATAGGGTGGGCTGGGGTTATTCTTTGAATGGCATAGTAGGTGTGGCTACACCAAGAATGATGATGGGACATGCTGTATTGGTAAGTTAAAGGCTGGGTGGGGTTATACCTTGAATGGCAAGTTTGATGGAACATTGCATCTTAGTAATAGAATGGAATAGAAAAACATGTGTATCTTCATTGAGGGGGGGTTATGCCAGAGTTATGGCATTCCTTTTTTTAAAGGTAAATGTTACTCCTAAAAAGATATTGTTTATACAGATATTAAATTTGTTTTTTTTCCCCATTAAACAAAATATTTTTGTTTACTTAAGTTATGCAAAACTTAAGATAATAACATTTGTTTTTCCATTTCTTTCAGACAAAGATGAATGTCATCTTGGTGAGAGTCAGTGTAATCAGCTGTGTATCAATACCAATGGAAGCTACACCTGTGGTTGTGAGGAAGGATATGCTTTGGAAAGCCAGAATCAGTTCAATTGTTCAGGTAAATTAACCAGAGACATATTTGCAAATATTTAGTGAAAAATCAATCTGTGTTATGTGTTAATATTATGCTGACAATATTAAGCAAAAAAATTAGTTAATGGACTTTTGATTCTTTGTCATCTATGATGATAATTACTACGTATTACATGGCACATTTCACTTGAATATGTAGCAAAAGTCTTTTATTCCACAATTATCTGTTCGTACATGAAAAAATGATAGAAAATATTATCTGGATTTATTTAGATATTGATGAGTGTGTTCTGGGCACCCACAAGTGTGAGCAGATATGTAACAACATCAATGGTGGCTATGGTTGTGCCTGCTTCTCTGGATTCACTCTAAGCCTCATAGATGGGAGATCTTGTAACAAAGGTATTGTTATTTATTTATTTATTTATTTATTTATTTATTTATTTATTTATTTATGATGATTTGCTATTCAAGTAGACATATTTTATTGTTAAAGGAATAGTGAACACTATTTTAAGGTCTTTTATGGTCTGTATATCTTTCTATTATTTTATATAACCTGTACTGATGCCCAAAGAAACATTTAATCTCTTAATAAAATGACCCTCTGCAAAAATGACTTTCCATTTAAAGTTTAGTTAGAAGTAATGCATTTATCATTCACACTGATAAAGCAAAGGAAGAAAAGTGTCATCGCCGTTTAAGGAAAATATTGCATGTTGGTCTTTATTTATTGGTAGTCATTCGGGTTTTAGTTGAAAAGGATTATGGTTCATATATTCTAAATATCTACTTTAGATTATTTTGTTGATGTTGGGATATGTTTGATTTCTGTAGACAATTCAACATTATCCTGTGGTGGTCTACAGTGTAGTGAAGGATGCATTCTTCTTGACGGAAATTATACTTGCATCTGTCCACTTGGCTATGAACTAGCAAATGACTCAATAAGTTGCCAAGGTAAGTGGGCTGTGGTATAGATGGAGTCACTCACTTAAATTGCAACCTGTGCTATGTACTGCCACATTGCTATGATATAAGACAGCATTATACTTATTTTTTAAAATTCTGTGTGATATTCTGTACTGAAAAGCTATTTTTCACAATATATACATTTACATGTCAATAATTGGAACATAGATTTTGAATGATCAAGTTGTACAAACCATACCTAAAATACCAATCATTTCAGATATTGATGAATGTCAAAGCAGTACCTTGAACAGGTGTGACACACGAGCAGAGTGTGTCAACAATGATGGCTCGTACTCTTGTGACTGCAGCAAGGCCGGAGGATATGTACTAGATCCATATGATCTGAGAACATGTCGAGGTAAAACATCCTACCCTTCCGTTTGAGATGCCAAAGAAAAATATTTTAAGGCTATTGTAAAATGTTGTCAGTGAAAGCATCAGTTGATTTAGTTTTGAAAAATTTTAATTGTTTTATATATAAATAGCATCTTATTAGCTTCTTGATTAAAATAAGCAATATAAAGTGAAACAACAGTGTTCTCAAAGAGTATCATATACATGACTGTATAAGCAAGGAAATTAAGTTTTGAAAATTTTAAAAATGCATGAATTCTGTCTAACTTTCAGATGTAAATGAATGCTTGGATGGGAGCAATAACTGTGATAAGAATGCAGTATGCACCAATGACATAGGAAATTACACCTGCTCTTGTAATATTGGCTTCACTGGGAATGGGACGACATGTTCTGACATTGATGAATGCTCAACATCTGTTCCTTGTCATTCCAATGCAACCTGTTCCAATAATGAAGGTTCTTACACATGTGCGTGCAACCCAGGATTTGATGGGGATGGAGTTAACAGTTGTACTGATGTTGATGAGTGTTCAACTTCATTACCCTGTGATGTCAATGCTGTTTGCTCAAATGTTCAAGGATCCTATACTTGTACTTGTGATACAGGATATACTGGCGATGGAAATACAACATGTAGTGATATAGATGAGTGTGTTGCTGATGCTTCTGTTTGTGCTTCTGCTGAAACATGTTATAACACGGAGGGATCGTTTTATTGTACTTGCAAATCAGGGTATCGGCGTGAAGCAGTCAACAGCATGTGTGTGGATATCAATGAATGTTCTAGAGATCCAAGTATCTGCAGCCAGTTTGCAAATTGCACAAACACGGAAGGCTCATACAGATGTGTTTGCAATGAACAATATGTGGGAGATGGAATTACCTGCAAATTGGCAGTGCTCATCTCAGGTAAGTTTTCTTAAGATTGGTACTTTGAAATGTCTTATACATGTACATGTATGTAGTGGCAAGACTAGTGGACGTGAATATTTAAGGTGGACCAATTACATGGAATTCAAACAAAACTCAGAACAAAAATTCCCTCATACATTTGTGCTGCAATGTTGTTAACTTATGGTGTCCAATATTTTGCAATCATCTAAGCCTTTTGCTAAAATCTTCATCATTGGTACCATATGTAAATGAGGGAACTTTCAACATTAAAAAGCGTATATATATCATTCTGATAATTTCTTAGATTGATTACTCATGATCTATGGAACAAGTACTTTCAATATGTCATGAAACTATGAAATTATAAAATGTTTGCTTTTCTCCAGTGAGAATATCTTTTGATGTGCCATATCTACCAGAATACAATGACATAAGCTCCCAAGAGTACAGAATTTTGTTGACTGCTGTAAGTATGAGATGATGCTATAAAAAGTCCCCTGTCATAGCAGAAATATTTATTTTCACATGTTACCATTAATTAAACCAGATAATGAATATTATCATGGCAATGTTTGTCAATTTTCTACAAAAAAATTTTCTACTAGGAATTAGACAGTTATCTCCATCCATTCTAAGTTATCTTTATAATTTAATGATTTATCTCAGTTGAGAAATAATATAGTTTGATTTATTGTATTGTTATATTCTTTATACATGTACATCAATTTTTTTTTTGGAACATGTTTATTAGTTTATGATCATAATAACAATTAGTGTACATACAGTATATGGACATGGCAAATCGCTAAAAGCATTATATGCTCATCTAAGGTAACTTTAAAATTTAACTAATTAACTAATAATTATATATTCGTTATAGAAAAAAAGGTTGTATTATAATGGAACTGGATAATACTTTTTTAAAAAGTTGGTAAAAGGGGAGTTGGTACCTTAATACGGTTGTTCATTGCAGGTAAAACTATTCTTTAGCAGTTTGGCTGGAAATGAAGAAGTTATGATATCATCAGTCAGGTAATTTCTGTATTGGTTGATATATCTACAGAGATATTTCTTAAATGTGAAATTTTATGTCTTGCAAAATACATTGAATTTTCAAAAAAAAAAATGTAAGCCTTTGAGAATAGCATAATGTTGTGATTATCATTCACTGATTGGTTATATTCTTTTAGTCATAAAACTACTGATTGTTGTGAAAAAATGGTAAAATTGTCAGCCAAATTAAAAATGACAATACACTTATCTGCCAGATTGGTATTACATAAGTCAGATTTTTCAAATGGGTATTTTTACTGCCAAACTAGTATTAGTCAATTAAGAAAATGACTTAAATGTTAATCATGTACAATATTTTAGAGTTTTTAGAACATTGAAGGGTATTTGGTATAGTTTCTTAGACACTTCTGTTTGTTTAAGTTATATCAATATTACTTTCTTACAATTGGTTGTTTCAATCTCAGAGCTGCAGGTTATACTAAAAAGGAAAGGGGCATATGGTCTTACATGTATGTATCTGTGTATCACTTATAAGTAACTAAACTATTTACTAATACCTTCATTTTTTTTTTCAGTGATAAAATAACCACGACTGTAGACATAATCCTCAAGATGGCTGAAACGGCAAACAAAACAGACATTGCTGTGCATATGACAGAGCAATTGTTAAACAACAGTTACATCCTGCAAGCTAATGGTACGAATTTCCCTGTGGTGGGAGTGCCAGAATTCCTAGATGGAAATGTGACAGGTTGGTAGCTGATTGTTTCATGTAATGAAAGTTTACAATGTAGTATTCCATTTATAATAGACTTTTTAGTTACAGTGTCTGTGTTTTAGTAAAGCAACATGAGTATAACATGCTCTTTGAAGTCAAACATTGGTGATTAAGTCAGCCTCTTTGAAGTGGCTGTACATCACTTTTCATAATAATAATAATAATAATAATAATAATAATAATATATTGAGCACTAAAATGTGTACAAATTACATTTTACATGTTTAGTTTTTACATTTATATTCTAATTCGCTTACGCTTAAACGTATATAAATTATTTATCGTCTAATAACTCTCAACGAATAAAACCACTTCATCTTCAAACACCAAATCATTTATTTATAAATAGGAATGAGTCGATGTGCCTCTGCCTGCTTCGACCACAAAGAACGGGCCTCCTCTGTGTATCATTACTTTATCCTAAAAAAGAAAAAAAACAAATACAATTTCATCGACTTATATACGTACATAATTTATTAATCCACATCCACTCTGGATTCACATTGTCCTACAATATCGACAAACAAAATGTAAATGCATATCAAATACCCAAGTTTAAAGATACACTCATTCTTTGCAATATATTGTCTTTAATATAACCGTCTTTTGCTTTATCCGATTTCCAGCGACCATGTTTTTTGAATAATCGTTCTTTTATCCCGCAATTTGCTGCAGCTGATGCGCCACCTGCTCGTAGACTATGTAGACCAAATTTACTTTTATCAAAACCCAATTCTTCAAATTTTTGTAANACATATATGTGTATAAATATACAATATTTTTTATACCAAACCAAACTACCAACAGTTGAGTCCATCTGCAGTGGAGCAGTGTCTACGTATTGATGTTATATTTTATACTCAGAATTTAACTGATTCCTCTTTGTTTCAGACCCAGTTTATAAATGTGAATATGAACCATACCTGTGTAAGAATGGTGGAGTATGTATTCAAATTGATAGAGGATACTGCAAGTAAGTATAGCAACAAGATGTTTATTAGTTTTAAAATGACACCAAGGCAAAGGATTGCAAAAATGCATTTGTAGATTTTGGAGACATGAAAATTAATTGAAAAAGATACATCTTTTGGTGAAATATGTATGTTTTCAATTTGTTACACTTCCAATAACAATAAAAGTAAAGAAATGGAATGCAATTGTGACACATAAATAGAATCATAGAAATACATCTAATTCCTTGTTGTCCATGTACTTACAGGTGCACAGAAGATTTTGAGGGTGATACTTGTGAGACTATAGGGTCCAAAGACTTAAGCACCCTTCTTGTCATCATAATACCCATAGCAAGTGTGCTTTTAGTGATAATTTGTGTCCTGGGGATATTACTAATATGCATATTCCGACGTAGAAGGCAACGTAGAGAAATCAGGAGAAGAACCTCCATGGCCAATTGGGAGCGGTGAGTTGGTCACATGACAGATTAATGTAACAATGATTGAAATTAAAATAGCAGTTATACAAGTACATGCACTTCCATGAAAACAACTTGTATTTTATTTGTAATTTAACAGCATTTCATATGTAATGAATAAAATTCATGGATATTTTCATTTATTATATCTCCATATTCATGTTCCCCAGGGACATGGCAAGTTCATACAGTCGTACCAGTAGTATCTTCCATCCAAAGTACAGCGGCCCCTATTGGCAACAGTTGCTGGGTAATGGAACAAGTGCTGACTCAGTGCATCGTCAACCACAGACAAACAAACCACACTTATTGTTGTGGAGAGCTGTAATACCAACTGAAACCTCCACCGAGTGGTCGACATCACTGGCATCCACGTCTGCTGATCAAGGTATGTTGGCATGTTACTGAGCTTTATATATGGTGGACATAGGGAAGAATGTAGATTATCTTCAAATGATACTTAATTACTTTCTGTTTGTCATACTTGATTTTTGTTTTTGTTGTTGTTTTTATTTTATCCCTTTTATTGTTTAATGGTCATATTTACATAGAGAAGATTTTAGAGGTGAAAAAAATGAAAATTAAGTAGTCATATAAATACCAATATAATAAAGCATTGCATTAATTTTGACCTGTATATTTTCAGGGATACAAGAATCTGCAGATTCATTTTTGTGGGAAGACATGCTGACTGGACCTTTAGACCCAAAGAAAGACTTTAAAATAAAGCGCCCTGTATTTGAGAAGCAGCCAAAAGGGGCATACAAGGTATTTGTCTTTTTCATTTCAGCAAATATACTTCTGTTTCAAAAAAGTGTGAAAGATGTCACATTTTGTAAGTGAGGTTTGAAAATGGTAATATTAACACCGTTGATTAAATGTACATGATTAATACCAATTTGGTATTATTGTTATATTACCTGATTTTCAACAATATTAATAAAAACTAACTTTTATTTCAGTTACACTTGAAACCAGAATCAAAAGCTTAGTGTCAGCAACACAGTAACATGATGCGTTAACAGAGAGAAGCAGTTGAGTAAAACAGATGTTAACTCAAATGAATGAAAACACCTAGAAAATGAATTATTATTAATGGATTCAAAGTCAAAGCTACATGCAGCTTTGTGAAGATGTTATTTATGAAATAGCAGGAAAAACATTGCTGCAAATGTCTGGATTGTATAATAGTTATTGTCTAAGTGAAAAAATGAAAATATTCCCAATCCTTCATTTTTATAGAAGGTAGTGATGAATTTTGTATAGTTTTACAAAATATTTAAACCCTGATCTTTGCCAAAGTGAGTTGTAAACTCTGCTGCCCAATCCCATACAGAAAGTGACTTACTATCAGTAAGGTTAAATAAGGTGTAATGTGATTTTAGATGACATTTAGATTCCTAGTTATTGAAGGATATGCATTGTTTGTAAATAAACTTTTGTTACCATATCTTTTTTAGAATTGCAAATTTAAAGGCAAAACATATATTTTTATATACTTATTTTGATGAGCAATGAATCACACCAGAACACAATTTTTGTTAAGTTTTTATTAACAGTTGTAAATATGAATTGCTTTGAACCAAGCATTTTGACAATTATTAATTACATTGCAATTTTATATTTGTATGTAAATGTAAATGATTATTTAATTGTGCTATTGTTATTGATTTTCAAAGTGTTTGTGATTAACTGTCTATCCTCTGCTCATAAAAATATACCGCATTCAATTATGATAATTCATATATTCATCTTTAAATTGATTTGCATTCACTCTCATATAAGTTCTGCATTACTCAGTTATTCACAGTTCATGTAATGGAAATCATTATATTGATATGGATAAACTTGCATCATATTTTAAACTTACACTTAAAATCCTTTAAAGTCAAACTTACAAATTATATGATTTATCTGTTTCAGCAACAATATGTGATAATTGTACAATGAGAACACATTCCATTATTTGGGGCACATTTTGTGATAATGTGGTGCCTAAAACATTCCTTTTTAATATTATTGCATGTACATTTGCACTTCATGAATAATTAGTAGCAAATCTTTGTATTTGATGGTATAATTATATTGATAACAAGCTAAACAAATAAGTTTGACCAGTGATGTTTTACTTATATGTTAAAGTAATCTTAGATTGCAAAAAGAACAAATTCAAAGTTTAGCTGAAAGAAAATAAATATTTTTATAGTAACTGGTGTCATCTTTTTCGGTAAATACAACTTTTGATTGAGAAGTACTTTCTGAAACTCTATTTCTGTTTTCTCTATGGCTTTCACTTTTATTCATTTTTTTTTTTTATTTTCTTTTTAAACATTCCAAAACTGACACTAAGCACACCCCCTAGCAGTCTGTTTTCCAGGGATGGATCATTAAAAAAATACTTAAAGTGTAAACAAAGTAGATGACTATTGAAGACTGTGATGTATAGATGTCTATTTCACACCCAATTGAACTGAAAATGATACCTGTCATTCTGCTTAACTGGGTATACATGTAAAACAGCACCAACTATATAATTATTATTTTAAAATTAAAATTTTTAACTATTTTATTAGTTCCAATTTCATTTTTAATTAATTAACTGATTAATTAATCACCACCAAAATCTAACCCATATCTTAGCTATCATGAAAATTTTATCAAAATCCCCCCAAAACTTTTTGCATAGACAAACGGAACCTTTGCAGAGGTTGCTATTAACACTGTACCTGTAAGGTGGAATGGGGGAAATAAAAAATTGAACAAAATTTCCCAAACCTCTTAATCATCCTGGATCTGCCTTGTCAAAAATATATATTGGTATTACAATATGTTGGCATATTTATTTATAAAATTGCCCTATTACATAATTTGTACATGATTCAAAATGATACTTGAGACAAAAGAAGGGGGCATTCCGAAATTACTTAAATCATCATAACGTACTGTATCTTAATGTTTTAACATACAAGTTCGACAAAAGTAATTTTACAATGATTGTCCAGAATAAAATGCATGCAAAAATTGCAGGATTTCCAGTCCGTTCGTTTGATATTTCTTTTCGTCAAAGACTAGGCTGTATTCCCAGAGCTTTTAGATCGATCTATCCCCGTGGGGAGTCTCACTAGATTACTGTCAGATAATCCGGCTTAAATGTCCGTCCCGCCTACTACAAGCTGTAAGGGGGTAATTAACTTTCGTGTCCGCTCGGCTGACAGCTATTTAGCGTGAACCCCCAGGGAGTTAGGTCGATCTTAAGTAGATCGATCTAATCTCTGGAAATGGGGTCTAACCTGACAATAGTTACGTGAGCAGACCAAGTCAGTCTAACCCAACGACCTATCAAAAGTGTTTTGTCAAGTATTTAATTAGGTCTTCGCCAGGTGCATTCTGCAACGTACATGATTTAAGACACTTGTGCTGTCTAGATGTTTTGTATCAGCCAAAAACTAAAAAAAAATGGATTTTATCAATCGATCTATGTCAAGGCCATTCGCAGTTCTTTGAGAATGACTTCAACAGCAACTTCCCAATCAGATTGTGGTGATTTGCATAACAATAAGTCGCTCAGCGCAGTGAGAACTATGATCACTTGTTAGCTGGAGATAGAGGACGTTGGACGGAGAGCATCTCATTCAGCATTGGAGCTTGGACCCATCATACATGGATGACACAAATGAATTTTGTGGGTAATATTTCTTCTACCATTGCAAGCACATAGAAGTGAGCGAAGTTCCGATTTGAATGTGGTACGTACGGCTAGAGTAATTTATTTACTTCTTCCTTTGTGATCTGAGTTTGATAAAGTATTGGTAGGGAAACTTGTTTTAATTCAAAGGGTTGTGGAATGGGTTGAATAGGCACTTTATCGTTTATAATGGTGTGGTTGCACCAAAAATGTGTTTCTTTTATGTTTTTACGAGTCCATATTACAAGGTAACAAGTTTGTCTGGGTAGCTCACGGGGTATAAGAAAAGTTGTACGTAAAATTCACGGCAGGCACGCTCCCATAGAAGCATGAAATATGAAGAAAGTTGTTGTATTACGTATAAGTATATTAGTTTGTGGTGCCCGGGTACGGTCACTTTAATGCCACTCACTGCACGCGAGTCACATAAAAACGTTTGTATTTTTGTACGTTTTTATATATTTGTAATCGATGTGCATGTATTACTGCGAACCTTCTCAGGTGCCTGCATTAGAAACTTGTGTGTATTACTTTCCATTTAATATTAAGAAAGATGTTTGACATGTTTGTAAGTAGAAAAAACGAGAGAATCTTTTTCATAAGTTTTCACAATGACACAAAAATTCATTGTATCCGTGGGATATTTTCCATGATTTTAAAGTAACCTACATGTAATAGCTTTTTGTATATAATAGAAGCGGTCTGCTGTATCATTCAATAAATAATACCCGTTTAACATGAGAAAACTGAAATATGTATCAGATAATTATAGTCTTCTAAAGTCTAAATTTTGCCCTAATTGATTCTGTAATCTCAATGACGAATTCCTGTATTCATTTGCGTCTTTACGTTGAGAAAGCTTTCCAATAGCACTGGTCAATTTATTCCTTGTGTCATTCTTTTCATAGTATACTAGATACTGGTGTGCTACATTCCTTGACATTTGTGGTGAAATATCGATTTTTTAAAAAAAAATTTCAACAGGAGCACAACAATTTCCTTTTCAGTTAATTCAGTCCTAGTTCAAGTTTAATTGCATTGGAATACCATATTAATATTGTTATTAAATTCTTATTTTGATATTTCAGAAGTGCCAACTCCTTTGCCGAAATCCTGAAAAATGCACGGGCGTCTGATAGAAGCTGTCCTAGGCTGGCTGTATTTTGGAACTGGACACAGAGACACGCACGCAACCGCACTCTCTCACACACGCACCGCAACATGTTTATACTCTTACTGTGATTTCAAAAACATTTTAAACCTACATATTATATTATTAATTGAAATGTTAAGCTAAGGTCGAGCGTGTTTCCTTTTCAAATTATACTCAGAAATCGATAATTGTTTTGTTTTTAGGTTAATACATGTATCTGACTTTTTAGAATGACGAGCCATTTATAAAAATAAATGAGCCTTTGGAGGGTAGTTTTCCATTTGATTAGTTAAGTAATATTGGTATGTACCGACTGTTCAGATCCTATAATCTACTCGATTTGAAATGTACTCTTTGCTTCTTTAAAATAAAACAAAACATTTGCTTTTTAAATTTGAACATTGTAAAATGTGAAATAAAAAAGTGCCTCCGTATTGAGATCACGTTTAGATAAATGTATTAATGTATTAAATTATGTATTGTGCCATGAAATATGAATATTAGCTCAAGTAAATATTTCTTCCGTTCAAATCTAGGAAGTTGATGTCACCCCTCGGCCTATTCTGACGCATGAATGTATATGTTCATACTACACACATGATTGATGACAGTTTAGAAGTTCATATTTATATATTTAAAGTCCATTGAATTGAATCCTGTTCTTAGCCCGTCCCATTTCCTCCAAATATGTTATTCGATTTTGCGTGTAAATGTTATGCGGTTTCTTTCAATTTATCTTTGATATTGCGTTGAATTTTAGACCGAAAAACCGCGACGTTCTAATAACGTCAGGCTGAAAAAAAATTATGATTTTTATCATTTTGCAATGTTTTCATAGTAGATGAAGTGCAGCTTTACATTCATTTTCCTATGCACGTTTTCTTTGGCAGCGTGACTTTACTTACAGCATTAACAGTTTGTTCAATAGTTTGTATGTGAATATATTCCTATTCATTAAGGTCGCGCGACAAGGTTATTTTCAGTTGCACCCTGGATTACGCACGCTTGCTCCGCAAGGTGTCGCCTGTGGCGGGGGGGCATCACAGCCCATATGGTTACTGTGGCGAAGGAGACAGGTACTTCCAAACATTTTTTCATAACTGTAATTTTTCCTCATTCTATTCATGAATTTGATATTTACGGCAATTGAAAATGTGGCACTGGCAAAAGTGAATCTAGGTGCGTTGACAGGCCGCACAGGTGTCCCCAATTAACCGCCGCCAAAGAAGAGACCCCAAGCATTAAACAACACAACCTGTAGATACTGGAAATTTGGCGAAAGTTTTACAAGCAACTGAGGCTTTATTAGATTTGGACAGAAATCGAGGGGAATGTCCAGTGACATGCCAAACCCCTAAGTTCAAGTCTTGGCCCTTGACACCAGTAACGCACCCCTTAGTCAAGAATCTGAACAAATCAATGTTGGGCAGGTATGCTCTGTTTTCTACAGCCGTTTTGTGATTTTATCAACTTGATTGTCAAGTGCCAGACCTTTTGTTCCCAGGTATTAGTAGCAAACTTTATCAGATAACAATCTGACACTAGCCAAGCTGCACTATAAAAGCGCTGTAAACTCAGTTATCAATGCTGTCATCTTTACCTGTATCTTTACCGGTATTATGCCAGTGGTACGTTTGATACATTTGAGTAAGGCAACATGCTTTAATGCTTATGTTCATTTGTAATACGTTAGCATCAACCTGTTAATAAAAACTTGGAAACTTTCAATGTTATTACACAATAACAGTATAATGATGGGAGATGTTATGATTAAATGCTTAGAAGAATAATAAAAACAAATTATGTGAAATATAAAATGAATTAATTTTATTTGGGTTATTTATTTATTTATTTCAAACCAAATAATTATCAAACATGAAGCTTATTTTTAGAAACATTCGCAGATATATGAAATATAACCCTGCTGGTACACAGACCTACAGTTCTAAAATGCAAATACCAAGTACCTTTCACACACCACTGATGAGATGTGAATAATCATATGTATAAAGTAGTAAAAATATCACAAAATNGGGGGGGAGTCCATTCTGATTTGAGGGGTGACAGGTGGGGCGAGATTTCCATCAGATTATAAAAGTCTAATTTAATTAATTTGAACTGTTGCCTTTTAAAAAGTGTGGTTTAATTTTGCATCAGAATTATTCCACTTTATCATTTTTAATGGATTATTTACATTAAAATAAGGTTTTTAGTTATAAATCAATTTGCGGAGGCAAAAATTAAAAGTCGTCAAAAATCAACTTGTTCTATGTTAAGAAATTAAAGGAAAGATAGACGAATGAATTTGTTCAGGGAAAAAAGCCTTATTGCTGTACCTCAAAATTAAGGACATTTTCAAAAAAGCTAGATTGCCAATGCATATAAATTAAATTCGTAATTAAATATATATAATTATCATATCTTTATATTGATATTTCTTTCCCCTTATATCCAAAATCTTATGTATCATTATTTCATATCAAAAGGAAATAACACAGAATTACAGAAGTTTTTATTCAGCTTTAATATAAGTAATGCATAAATAGGCGTAGAGTCTCCGAATGTGTACCAAGGCTACGGTAGGTTGTTTGCAGGGCCGGTTGTGCAGCATCTCGGCGGGCTTCTGAAATGAGAAAATTATGTTTAAAACAGCCTTTGGCCATACGAACAAGTTTTTAATGCATGCAATATAACAAAGGAGAGGACACTTATAACTGAAATGACGTGCATGTTTATTGGATTATCCAAAGTTCAGGCTCAGCCACCAGCGATGAAACTGAGGCTAAAATTGGATTGACAAATAATTTGACATATTTTTTAGAACAATAGAAAACTAAAAATGTTACTCTCCCATTTGCGTATGTTATTACTACGGTCGTTTACATATTGCACTTACTGCTGAATGTCTCGAATGCAATGATTTCTATAATCGCTAGAATCACGCACTGGCGTTTATTGTTCTAAATAAAATTATTTTTGTTATATCTTAAAATACCCAAGAGAGACATTTGACTTGTTGATAAAAATTTACCATGGAATTTAGCCAAAAGATCTTGCGCATATTAGTGGTTCAACTGTACCCATTGGTCGGAAGCTCAGAACTGTGACAAGCATTACTATTATCTACATCGAAAAGAAGTCCCGGTTCTAGGTAGTAATGCTCACATTACGAAAAATCTAATTTAAGTAGTCACAAATCTTCTCTTAATTGCCTGGACCATACAAAAATGTTCTTGCAGAACTTAATAAATGACCTAGCTACAAGATTTCAAACAACCTAGGTTTTCATCAAAGGTCACCGTTCATCTGAATGATTGCAGCCCCAAAGCATTGTAATACTAAATCAAAACTAACGCAATTCTTTCTAATATTCTGAGTGAGATGCAAGTAACGATGGGCATAAGTTTATAAAGAATTGTGTTCTAAATGTTTCTCGTAAATTTCCTATCATTCGTCTGTGACCTAAGTATTTTATGACCGTGGTTATTGAAGAAATCGTGATACTTACAAAACATGCATTTGCCTCCTCGCCTTTGCTACTGCACCACACCAACCTCTGCGTGATCACTCGACAATGTCCAACTGACAAGTGAGTATTCAGAAAAACATCTCGCACTGCGATGAACAGCTTATAATTATGCAAATTACAACAGGTATGGCTCATTCTAGGTGAGAGGTTGTGACTAAAACAGTCGAAGTCGATGGTTTACTACGGACTTTCAACTGCATGACGGAAGACGTGCATGTAGTTTTTCTGAAATAATAAAAGTGTGTTTCAACAAAAAGTAGTGGACAATTATATTTTCATGTCTATGTATAAACATTCGTGACAGTTTCAGACACAACCTCTCACCTAGAATGAACCATACCTGTTGTAATTTGCATAATAATAATAAGTTGCCCATCGTAGTGCGAGCTGAATGTTTATAATAAATCGACATGCGTACTTGTACTAATAATACAATATGGAATCGATAAACCCTAGTTCCGTTGGATCCAGGTGCCGCCAGATAAAAAAAAAATTATTATAGACCCATGTACCGACTGATACGATGTCCCACCTACCACACATACTAGTAAATGCACAGGTGCCTCTCAATCCAAATACCGATAAATTAATGCATTTTACAAAAAATTCACTAAAACCATGGGGTGTGGTAGCGGTAGAAAAGTGTTAAAATCACTGTCATAGTGGTGCCACGAGTAGTGCCAACAACCTAGTCTTGTCCCTTATAATAGGTATTTTTAGTATCATCCAATGTAATGCTCCTTCTCACTTTAAGTTCTTTTAAAGTTCTCGGGGCTGTTGGCCGAGCAAACAAAACGCAGAGGGAGGGGGGTAGGGCAGGGGGCAGCAGTGGAGGGCCTACAACGCGGCAAATATTAAGCCTACGGCCCCCGTGAGCGTCCTCGTATTTGATTTCGTTTATTTGTTTATTTTTTAACTTTGATTTAAATTGTTCATGTACATGTGTGTGGCACCAACATGTAATCACACCGGCTCCTCACGTATACGTGCTCTGGAATGTTCAACGCTTAAGGCTCTATTCCCATAGATTTTAGATCGATCTATCCCAGCGGGGAGTCTCACTAGATTACTTTCAGATAATCCGACTTAAATGTCCGTCTCGCCTACTACAAGCTTTAAGGGGGTAATTAACTTTTGTGGCTGACAGCTATTAAGCGTGAACCCCCAGGGAGTTAGGTCGATCTAAAGTAGGTCGATCTAATCTATGGAAATGGGGTGTAAGAAATATCGAGGGAAGGAAATTAGGACCCTTATATTCTGCATTTGGCTGTCAATCTGCAAAGAAAATATCTGCGCCATGAAAAATCCAAAGCCATTTTTGTCGTTAAATATTGATAACCATATACCGGTATGATTACATGTACATGTAGGTGTAGAGAAAATTTGCCAAGAAAACAGATTTGGTGGCCCATTTAAAAGGATGTGCGAAAAATCCAAATTCGTCAACAAACTCAGGGGCTGAGTCAGGGACAGAAGTCGGTGAGATGACCATGCTACAGATTGAAAATAATCCTGTTGGTGACACATTTCAACAAACTTCCACCATAAGGACGGTAGTGGCATTAATTGAAGAAGGGAAAAGAAAATTTTTACCAAGAAAATAAAGTCATTTAACTGGAGTAACATTAAACCTCACTATACAGTAGAGGAAGGGAAAGTACTCTGAAAATAGTGTGACTTAAAAAGTGAATACCATTGTCATTTCAAGGTTCACTTGAAAAGAAAGCACCTGGAGAAGTCCTTACAGATTAAAAGGTTTGGCAATTAATTATTCTCTACTTTCTTTTGGCTATTTTGAGGTACTCTACTGGACTTCCATCCGAAGTCTGAATTTCCTCAAAAAAAAAAAAAAATCATAATAATAATAAATAAATAAATAAATGAATAAATAAATAATAATAATAATAAAATAAAAAAAATCGGAAATCATTGCTCAACCCACTCCTACATTTGCCTTGTTACACATTCAATAATAAAGCTGTCACTTATGAAAAATCTCAATCATTATAATATTAAACAACAAAGTTGCATCAACGAGTCACCTTGTATTTTGCTTGAAATACTTATGCCCAGATAACAGTTTCAAGATGCTTTGTTTAGCAGATCTAGAATTGTTACTAAAACATTTGTTCGCAACTTCATATGAGATCCTGCTCATACTAACGCAAATCTCTGACAGGATAGGAAATACAGCACTACCAACATTTCCCATGAGCTGGTACAGTATCCAGAAGATTTTACTAAATATGATATTGCTGGAAATTTGTATCATGTTATAGTTCATTTAAACTGCAGCATCATAAATAAGCTTTATCATTACTTCACTCTTACAAAGCAACTTGAGGTTAAAAATCTCTGAAAAGTTAAATAATCTCAGTTTCAAGTAAACAGATAGGATGGGTTTGTTTCTGTTAATTTGCAGTCTTTAATTTTTTTAATAAGAGGTCCCTGAAAATGTCTTTGGACACCAGTATCACTCCATCATAATTGTATTTATTGTTATTTTGATTTATCAACCAGAAATGTCCATATGATGGGAAACAACTAATAGTTTGTATACAGGGAAGCATCCAGATGTTTAGTAGTCTACATAAAGTCATCTGAGTCATTGCCACTATCCTGAAAAACAAAAGAAAAATTAAAATAGTACAGTTATACCCATTGTTACTCCATGGCATAATACATTAAGTGGCTTTCATATTAATGCAAGTTTCCAGTTACCAATGAGATAGATCTTCACAGCTCAAAAGTGTTTTTAATTTGCCTTTTTTCGTTTGATTATTAGATATATTACACACTGCCAAGCAATAATAAAGCATGATGACAAATCATGAAATATGATAACATAAATAATCTGTGTAAAATGAAACTTACCTGATTTGAAGTCATATTGCTAGGCGTCATTAAAGAATCATAACTCCTGAAAGTGAATATAAAAGGATGTAATATATATACAGACTGATGGTTATATCCAGACAATGTAATTATTGCCGATTGATAAACACAACAATATGCAGACAATAACTGTATACACAACTGAAAAAAAAGAATAAAAGGCAAATTGAACTAAATGTGCAAATCATTAGCAAACCTACAAAAGACTGCAAATTGTTTTTCTTGCACTGTTACACATTAAAATTATGTATAAAAAATTTACTAGTCATCTCACACAATGCAGCATGTATAAAACTTCTCAGAAAACTGAAATAGCTGTATGATAAGATATGACCAAGTGAGAAAGAGATGAGCTAATAAGAGTAGGCTACCTGAGTTTTGCTTCCTCCTCTTTCCTTTTTTGCTCTTCTTTTTCTTTTTGTTTTCGTTCCCTTTCTGTCTGTTTTTTGTCTTCTCTTTCTCTTCTATCTCTCTCCTCTCTAAGTGCCCTCAAATCTGGATGTTTTTCTTCTTTTGTTTTATTTAACCTATTTACTATTTCATTTAACTTTTTTTCTACATGAACTGTGACTACCTAAAAAGAAAGGGAAAAAACTTACCTTAAACGTTTCTAATAACACATGACTACAAAGACTATTCAGTCAAATACTTCTTGGACACAGTGATTTATAATAAAGACTTGAATTGACTTACTAAGCAACTTGAGGCTTTTGGTTTTTAAGGGTAGTTAAAGGGATAATAACTCTTCGTTTCGGCTAAAAAATGAATTTTCCTGGAGTCAACAACAATTTTCCCATACTTACCAATGCTTAATGAATTCATTTTTACATTCAAAGTTAGTCCCTGGTTTTTTTCTAAAAAGTTTGGTTTTTTGTTAAAATCTCTTAAGAGATTTTAACAGAGCATAGCCATCAATGGAGGTCACGTGGTCTAAAGACAAGCTCAGATATCAAAATAATAGCTATAACTGCCGTTTTTGTGGTAAAACAGAATATATTATATTTCTATGAATTATTCACAATGTTTTTATTGCGAAATATAGTTCTCATACGAAGAGTTATTATCCCTTTAACAATTTATAAGTAGCTTTTATCATTCAGTAGTATCCTATTTTAATACAAAGTCTTAAACTTTTTTTATTCTTAACACTGTTAAAGTTTTTAAAACAATATTGCTTTTACAGGGCAATTTATTCCCAATATTGTATGTTTTATATATTTATTAGATAAATAAATCTTGATCTTTTCTCATCTTAAAATACCAATTTGCCATGCTTTTCATTTGAGACAAAACAGACACCAGAAACACTTCTTACTAAGTTCCAGTGTTTAATATGTATTAATTTTTTTGTCATACATCATTAGTAAAAGTAATATGTACTAAACTATTAAAAAACAATAATGTATAATATGATTAAAAATTGCTTGTCTGAGCATTAGTTACAATTCTTTAATGTTTCCGTTCTACCTAACACTTTAAATGTTGCATTAAAATCCTGTATTTTGTACATCCTCACCTCTTTGTGTTTATGAAAACCAACTTGCCCTACTTCCATTCCCTGGGTTTTCTTTAGGTTGGTTGCCATGGTATATACAACATCGATGTTGTTCATTTTACAGCCTGAAATAGCAAAAGATTTTAAAAAATAAACATTTTACATAGAAAAAAAAAAGAGTATAAGAACAGAAAAAAAGGCTGCTGTTGGGAGAAGCATGTGAACTTGAATCCTGGCCATTTGCTTTTTTAAAAGTGCCTTTCCCCTTTGACTAATCACTGCTTGTCCCTGCACTTGGATGTGATGTCTTATTCCATTTTTAATTCTGTTACTAAGCTTTAAATGACTGGCCTGACCTTCATGGTTTTGCTTTCACTCAGGGAGATGTGGTGTTTTATATATCAAGTGTAATACAGACTATGCTACCTGTCATAGAGGCTGAGTAGTTAAAAGCAATGCTAGGTTTCCTTTAGATGAACTTTTATTCTTAGGGTTTTATTGCCTTTAAGGTCTAAATTGGGAAATATAAGAATTTTTACAGGATATAAATATGACTGTTGGGGATTTTCAAATGTGTGGAGAGTCACTTTCAAATCTGCTTTCTATTAATTTTGACTAACTTTCGTATCTGTTACCTTGTATACTGTTTGCCTTGACCAGCTGTGCACAGTCTTGTATTACAGCCTGGGGGATGGCATCTATTGTTTCACCTGGCTGGAGGCGCAGGTAAACATGAGCAGAGGACAACTTGTCAACATGAAACCTAAAATAATAATAATAATAATACAGAATTCTGTTATGTTGGTCATTAAGACATCCAGCTTTAAAGTTTTATATTGGTACTTTTGTTCACTGGTCTAGTAATTAAGTGTCAATATAAATACACAATATTCAAAATTTATATTATGATTCTGAGATATGACATTAATCAAATAATACAGAGTATGAATGAAAAAATAAGAGGGCTCCAGTCAGAGTGAGACATCCTTTTTGGAGTTGACATGCAGGTCATGCAGAGTACAATGAGTAGCCATAAAACAAGATGAGGAATGATACATCTGAAAAATTGAAGGCTCTTATAACTATGTAGATCAACAGTTAACTGCATGGATGGAGTAAGCAGCCATTTCAGAAAAATACAATATGCACAATAGAGTTTTAAAACTTACCATACGTCTTCAGGAAATGACCACTTAATCAGATCTTCATCTACAAATAGAAAATGATAAAAAAAAATTTACAGAAAAACAATTTTGATTAACTCATTCATAAACAGCCTAATTTTTATTAATGGTACATATCAAAATATATCAAAACTCATAGCATTCCAAAATGGGAATAAAACGCAATGCCTCTGCCAGTTTTAACTTACTTTCATATTTGTCAACTCCCATGTAAATCGTATGTGCTGGTTGGACAACTGTAAAAGATGAAAAATAAGGTTTATCATAACTTAAATTTTAGAAATACTGTAGCCTGGCCAAAAGCTGAAAGTCGTCAAAACTGTAAGGATGTAATTTTAAAAATATAATTTTCTACAAAATGAACTAACGTTTACATATGTATCAATAATTTATTTTTCAATTATCAATTTGATTTCTCCTTGAGCTGCATATACTGAGTATGTGACCATATCAACCATATCTAGACAATACAAGGCTAAACGTGAAATATTTCTTTGGGTAAGAAATCCGTCATCGCATGGCTTTAAGATAAGATATCCAACCGTTTAACATTATATAGTAATATAGTTATAATGAGAAGTAACACTGTCGCTGTCAGTGTGATACGATCAAGGAGTTATAACAGTTGTTTGGGGGTGGTCGGCTCATGCCTTAGTTAAACTACCTCAGATCAAAATAACACGATCCAAGGCTGGGCCCCTGGGGACGTGTGTTTTGACAGCGCCCCTAGTTAAAAGCTTAGAGATTGTTGGTGGGACGCTCGGGGTTGAGATTTAATGCTCTGATTCCCTTTTATCTGTTATAACTCCAATCATAAGTTGTCAACATTCACATATCGAGAAAGGGTTATCATATTTCATAGTTAAATGGCCTGACGGCCATATCCGTGTGATTCGATGATGTTGTCTATTTTATGATATCTTAAGAAACACAAATAAGATCTAAACACCAACTTTAACTTACCATCACTTGTAAAATAGAACACCATCGTGGTTTTTACGCGAACCGTGACTACTTTGTCTCGTTTTCGCTTTCAGGATATATGCCTTATTCCTTGAAATATAGCCCTAGTAATATTCTGTAAGTAAATCATTATTAATTTTTAAAGAAATATGGTCTAAATATTTGTGGTAAAATTTAGTGTAACTGTTAATCAATAAGTATATTTTGTGCATTCAAGTTAAATTTATAGAGTTTACTTTCTTCTGTACTAAGTTTTGGAACGTACCAGTAGTGTGACCTTCACCTTGCTTACCTTCGCGCCAAATTTGGTGGGAGCTAAACTTGGACGACAGACTCTTCACTTATTTCAAAGGTGAGTTGATACCTTTATATTTGTGATCACGAATTTTTTAATTGATTTTGTTGTAAGGATTGTGATCACCATCAGTAAATTGATGAGAAGAGTAAATGTATTGGAAAACCGCAAGATAAATTGTGCACCTTAAATGAAGGCAAGTATCTGGGATCTCCCGCGTTAATTAATTTTCAGAGCGCCTACATTATACAGTTCTCTCAGTAAATTGTGTATTATTCTATTATAATTTAAGTATTGTGATATATTGTATTTAAAGCAAACGCATATTCAGTATACGTTTTTCAGTGTCGAGTACACCTTTGACACAGTGATAGTTCTCAAGCTTTAATTTCTATTCATAATTTCTTTTTAATCCTTTTTTTAGCTGTGTTATGATTAGTTTATTTTGCTTGCAAATATAGCTAATAATGATGTTAGAAGATGATGATTTGGATTATGATGCAAACAAAATTTGGACAGGAACACATTTTTTTATGATTTGAGGAATGGTATGTGATAACTTCACACATGTTAAATGTTCACATTCTCCTTTATAGTTTACAATAGCAGAACTTGAGGTTACTGAAGCTGGAAAAGTTCTTATTCAAAGGCATTTGTGATAGCTGCAACCATGATGGCAACAGTTGCTGGAGCTGAATATAGGTGAGCATTTGTATCACTACTGTACCTTTTTGTATTTAGTCAATCAAATCAAACAAATATTAAATTTTAAGGGAAATCACATTGAGAGAAAAACAGTACAGTGGAAGATCAGAAATCTTTTCTTTTCTTTTTTTTAATCGATCTTCCAATTTTAATATGTTACACAGTGAATGAATAAACGTTGGAAAAATATCAAATGCACTTCTTTTTACTGTATTGATAAATTAAATTAACTAATTCTTTATCTTAATTAGTCCTGAAAACAACAACAACAAAAATACATCTATGGATAGATAAAAAGGTAGAGAGGATACATAAAATAGATAATAAAATACAGAAAGCGCCAGAAGTGAAAAGTTACATTTCATTCCAGTTCACCCTACACCAGATCAAGAAAACGAAAGCTTCTTGACAGTCCAGAGCAGAAACAAAAACCCAAGCGAAAAGGCAAAAAAGAAACTTCTCCCTTATCAGCTTTCTCATTTTATAACACGCCAAAGTCATCCCCACCTCCAGAGAAGGATTCCAAAAGCCAGCCCATCTCCCCTGACATTGATTCCAATGACAGTGACTCTCGTGACAGTCTGAACCTGGAGTCACTTGGAATCAGGGTGAAACCAGTCCAGAAGAAAAGTGGTACCAAACAAAGCAAAAAGATGGTAGAAGAAAATGGCCATAAGGAAGGATCAGACCACAATAAATCCAGCCCCAGAAAGACAATTTCAGTTAAACCATATTTCCACGCAAACACCAGACTGAATACAGAGGACTGTGCTGAAATGTTATGTATTATGGATGGTGATATCACACCGAGGAAAAAGAGACCATGTTTGGATGACGATAAGATTGAAATGTCAAGCCCAGATACAGGGGACTCGATGGAACCACAGGGATCAAGCACCCCTCTTATGCCCAGCAGTCCACTGAGTGATGTATCTGAGAACATATTCAATGTGTCTAATGATGGAAGTACACCAGGGGGCAGAAAGTTCTTCAAGAGCAGAGACAGTGATAAGCATGCTGCAAGAAAATTGCTAGCAGTCAGATACCAATTTTCATACAACAAAATACCCAAGAGAAATGGCTCTTTGAAGAAGGTTGCCAAGAAATATGCAAATGGGCGGTCTTGTAAACCACAACAGGTTACTAGCAATGGGAAAAAGACCTCTAGTGTAACCCCTCCAACAGCCCCTGTGAAGATTACAAAGCAAATTATTGATGATTTTTCTCAGCTGCAGAATCCCGAAGAGAAGTCACAACAAGTTGTCCCAGATGTCACAGACCAACAGCTAACAGGACAGTTGTATTCCCAGGATTTATTCTCTGAGGGAAGCCATAATGGCCTTGGCAAGCAGACGATTAGAGACTCTGGGAATGGTTCTCAAGAATCTTCTGCAGCAGTTGACAAACTGGAGGGTGGATATGCCCAGACACCTGAGCTGTTCAGTGATCTGGCAAGTACTGTGTCTGAGTCGTCCACATCTGAAGTGGATTCCAATGAGACCATTACACCCTTGTCAGAAAGCCCCAAAACTCCTGACAGAAAGACAAAACTGTTCCCTATTTTCACAGCCCAAGCTAACAAGCAAAGCAGGTAAGCTGTAGTCTTTTGTTTATTTTATTTATTTTGTTCTTTATTTTTATTTTTTTGCTTTTGTTTATGCGTTAATGTTCTTTTTGAAATTTAAAGTATGCTAAAATAAATTCACGACATGTTTTGATAAGCCCGTATGTTAAACTTGACTCCTTGCTAAATTGCCTCATAATGTTGAATTAAAACTTCACATTGTTCATGATTTATTTCATCTTTTTAGTAGTTCCAAAGATATTTAATGACACAGATTCACAATTTATAGCTTATTTATGCATATTATCTGTATTTTTGTCTAGAACTGCCAGTGACACAAATCCCCAAGATATTTCATGATACAGATGCACAATTTATAGCCTATTTATGCATATGCTCTGTATTTTTGCCTAGAACTGGTAACACAAGTTCTCCTAGAGGGGCCACAACCCCCCTCGGATCCAGGAAATCTTTGTCACCAGGTCCATCTCCTGCTCGCCTGTCTAGAAAGAGGATCACTGACAAGGAGAATAGAGAACAGCTGATTATAGTTAGTTTGTTCTTTACATAATAGCTGATTGTCTAAATAACAGAAGAAATAAATTACAAATGTCTTAGCACTTAGAGTGGACATGTTTTAAACTTGGGGATCATTTTGGATCCCAACTGAAAAGACCATGATTGTTTCTAATATTCAAGTTAGTGTAAGTAAATTGGGGCTACGGAAGTGAGTTAAGATCCCCCATAAGTTGCAGAAATGAATATCTCTCTTCTAGTGAATCCTTTGCTAGTTTTAGACTTGGGCAAATGTATTGATTGGGAGATAAATGTGTTTATAACTTAGATGAGTTGTTTAGTACTTCAGTAAAAGTCACAAGTTTATACCATCACTTAATTGGTAGTTATATTATTTTGAAATTGTAGTACTATTTATAATAATCAGTCTCCTGTTTGGAATTATATGAGAACCAGTGTTTGTAATTTGCCATTTGAGCTTTGTACCTTGGGTTAAGTACTAAGTCAACAAGCATACATCTTTAAAAATATTTCCCAGTAATGCTTAATTCTCTGGCAAAAATATATATGTGCTTACTGACAAAAGCTGATGGCCAGTAATAAAATAACCCTTTTTGTAACTCTTTAGGATGCAGGTCAGAAACAGATAGGGGCAATCCAGTGCAAAACATGTGGAATGTTCTACACCCCTTCTGATCCCACGGACAAGACGGCCCACTCCAAGTTTCACGATAAACTGGAAACTGCTCTCAGTTTTCCTGTAAGTATTGTGGAATAAGCATTTGCAAAAGAAATTTTTAATGTTTAAAGTAACAGTTACTTTAATTAAGTACTCTGTTAATGTAATACTTTGATGTATTTATATGCATTTAGAAATTAGTCTGAGTTTACTAAGAAGTAGCAACAACTGTTAGGCTGATAAAGTCAATAATAGCAATACTTGTTAAAAAATAACTGGTGTAATGAGATTAATATTATTACATATATATTAAGTATGCCTTCAAGAGGTGAACTAATATTTTCTAGGGCTGGAAAAAGGAACGGATTGTGCAGGGATTTTATGATGGCAGTAGAATTATTGCTGTTGTTGAAGATGACCCCAAGTATGCTTTGAGGAAGGTAAGAGGTCATCCTAAACAAAAAAGACGTACCTACCTTCACAAATTTTGAAGTGTTTTATACTTA